CATATACATATACATATATACATATACATATATATATACATATACATATATACATATACATATATATATACATATACATATATACATATACATATATATATACATATACATATATACATATACATATATATATACATATACATATATACATATACATATATATATACATATACATATATACATATACATATATATATACATATACATATATACATATACATATATATATACATATACATATATACATATACATATATATATACATATACATATATACATATACATATATATATACATATACATATATACATATACATATATATATACATATACATATATACATATACATATATATATACATATACATATATATATATATATATATTATAACATATTTTGTGCATAGCATATAGTCTAAGTCCGGGCTATTCTTTTTTTGCCATTGACCCCTAAATTTATTCACTCTCACCCAAGGCACCATAAGACTTAAATCAATATATTGTGAAAAAAGAAATGTTATAAATGTTTAAAATATCTGGAAAATATTTTGTTTTTGTTCCATTATATTATTACATTTATTTATTTAGTCTAATCTTATTTTTATTATTTGCTTATTTTAACATTTCTTTCACGGTTTTTGTGAAGAAAAAATTATAAATGTTTAAAATATTTGGGAAATGTTGTTTGTTAATTACATTTTACACATTTTACCCTTCTCACAGTAGTACTTTATTGTTCGATGTATTATTTATTTACATTTTTATCAAATATTTCAAATATTGTTTACACTGTTTTGCTCTAATAGTATTGATATCTTTTATTTTATTTTTATATAACAAGCAGGCATTTTTAAATAATTGATGACTTTATGAACTAATGGTTTTATTGCTGATGAACATGAATTAATAAAATGTAATTTACATAGAACAATAAAATAAAAATAAACATACAAAAATTATTTCCCAGAATTCCATTTGTTTTATGAAATATTTTACTCTTTTTATGTCAACAAACATACTTAAACGTAGACTGGGGATGCCGTTACGGTTAACTTTAAAAAAAATAATAATCACATTTACATATTGTGATATATTAATGGTTAAAAATGAGAACCACTTAAACTGGACTGTGCCAAACAGCCAAAATATATCAGGACTAGGATCTTTAAATAGAGAATGTACCCTACACAACCTTTCCGTTTTCCTGCCAGGGGAAAAGACAGGGATGACATTGCAACACAGCATCCACAACAACAGGAAACCTTAAGGGAAGTCAACACTCAACAGTTGCAGCCCGCAGAATTCCAGTCATGGTGCTGAGAGGCACACTGTTTAATTTTCGGAGCAAATTTATTAGTCTATGCTTGCCAACTACATGAGGACTCTGTTCCCACACAGAATATAGCAACTGCCCGAGATCCCATCAAAACCACTGTCCTAAAAAGGACTGGAATCATTATAACTCCAGAATTAGAGCATGTCATGCAGGCTGCTGTGGTAATCAAGAATAATTATGATAATTGGTAAGCTATGTCAGATGGTACCAGATGAAGGCAGATTTTAAAACCTCTGTACACAACTGTACCGGCACAGCTGGACGAGGCATTATAAGCCATTACAGATAATTGTTTCATAAATTTATGTTTGACACATGTATGTAAGATTAAATGCAACATCGTCTAATGTAATTACAATTTAAATGGCTTATGAGAACATCATGTTTTTTTATTTGGCCCACTTTGCCGGCACACTATGCCATTTTTACATTAATATTTAATGTTCATAAACAAAACACTAGCGTTCAAACAATATTTGTTTTCAGTGGCAGATGCTGATATCTATAAAATGGGATTTTAAGCCATATTGAGAATGTAATACGAAAATAAATTGGCTCATTAATTGGCACAGATGTTGAAATTGAGTGCTAATCAGGTGCAAATAATCTAACAATGATCAAATATTGGACAATTGAGCAGCTCACACATGAGTCTGTAAGTGTAGAACAACAACTGATTCATTTAGGCCATCAGAAAAGCAAAAGCAGATAAGCATTTGTCAACATTAACAATTCAGCATTTATCAAAATAAGACACTGAAAGTGATAACTTGCACAGGAATATTCCAATATCAATCAGAATGTGGTCATATTCTGATTAAAGCAAGGAAAATAGTCTCTTCCTTGTGCCAATTATGTATTTCCTTAATAGTTTAACTTTTCACAACTTTCTATATATAATAGGCCTATCACTCAGATTTACCATTATTCATTATTCAGATTTATAGCAATTGGAATATCAGCTTACTCTGGTTATTATGGCAATCCGTTTAGTGCGTTACATAATTCAATCTGACCGTATTTTGATTAATACTGGAATATGAATCAAACTGTAACCAACACGATATTGTATTTAGAACTCAACTGTCATGGTTCGGGAATGTGGAGGCCCTTCCTGAGGGAGCAAAGGAAATGACAGAATTCCATGTGTAATTCTATTTGTTGGTAGCTTTTTAATCTAAAGCAGATGTTTGCCACAGTTACTTTAGAGGTTTTTAAGAAACTAAATAACTTTAAGAATCTTATTTCAGAGTTAAAAATGACAGAATGTGCTCCCAAAAACACCTCATTAACGCTGCTAGCAATTCGACAAAATTAAAAGGTCTATTCTAGAGCAGTTTTTAACCTTAGGTCTACACGTGCGTCAGTCGCGTCGCGTCTCGAGCGTTGCGTTTGCGTGTCAAATTAACAATGTATTTTATTAAAGTAATTTACCAAAACGAGTCTCGAGACCCCACACGTTCGGTTTCATTTAGTTAAGCTAGTTTTTCTAAACGCAAAAAGCGTCTGGTGTGTGTGAGCGCTTTGCATCGCGTCGTGCTTCCAGTGAAGACAAGGCTTTAAAGCGAACGCGAATGTGAAAAATGTCATATTCTCATGTACTCACCACGTAGCTGCAAATCGCTATGGTTTATAAAATGCTTATATGTTTTGGACAGATCTGAATTTTTGACTTTTCCTCCGGAGGAACAGATGTATTCCAGTAAGGACGCTTCACTGATCTCGCCCATCTCTGTCAGGGAACTGAAAACCAAATGTAATTTTACAACAGATGTGATGTAGTCGTGATGGGTTCTTCTCGAAGATGCTGAAGCATGGCTTTGCTGGAAGCCAAGCTAATTACTGAAGAAGAAAAGTCTACACTGACTTGCCAAGTTCACTCCACCCTTATCTGCAAGCAGAACCTCCTACAGTTAACCCTTTGTGCTCTGAAGACTAAAAGAGAATTAATAAAGGATAAATAACTTCATTTGCATCTTATAATGACAGAACCATCTCTATAAACACTCTTTAGACACTAAATAAACACTATGTGATTTTAAATACAGACAAAAGTATGTAGGAACATAGGAACAGTACACACGAATACATTTTATTAAAATATCTATGAAATATAAACAAAATACAGGCCTTAGTATGACTATTTATATATAAACTAACGATGAGGCAATAATAATTTGCTCAAATAAAATATCAAAACCAAGAAATTACATGACTGTATTGAACAGTACTGTTCAAATACATAATGTAATATGCTATACATAATATGAACATAACCAACTTAAAGGCACGATATGTAAGATTTTTTTATTAAAATATCCAAAACCACTAGAACAGTGTTATATATTTTGCTGACTTGTGTACTTACATTATCCCAAATGTTTCAAAGAATGTTTAAATCCAGAGAAATAAGCAATTTTAACTAGTGACAGCATAGTGTCATTGTGTCGCCTGCCAATGACATCATAACAATACGCCTTTGTCTATTTGTTTATTTTGAATATGCGCCCTCTAGCGGCGAAAATTACATATTGTGCCTTTAAGCACATTATGCATTAAAATAAATACCTGCAAAGGGCGCCAACGGCCTGGTGATGTTTCACTTTACAGCATGATTAAACCATGTTTAAATCCATTTCATTTTAATATTTGGCCACATGCAGAAACTTTTATTTTGAAATCGCGATGTACAATACATGGCATATTTAGACATAGGTTGATGTATTCTCCTGTGTTGGCAAAGGTTTATAAAATGATTTACGTTACAAATCTAGTGAGATGCACACTGTTTTTCCAGATGAACGTTAAGCAATTCAAATTCACGGCATATACAGAGGAAGAGTTTAGCCCCTTTCACACATACATTCTTTACTGGTAAATTACCGGAAAGTTACCATTAATAGAACATGTGTGAACAGGACCTTTTCAAAAATCCCAGTAAATTTGTTCTGCAATCATATCGTTTTATGGAGATGACATGATTACTCTGAGCTGTTTACAAAGCTCCGCTGCTTTTTAATGAGTTATTCTATGTAAATATGCGCTAGATCAGGGATCCTCAAATCTGGCCCACGAGATCCACTTTCCTGCAGAGTTTAGCTCTAACCCTAATCAAACACACCTGAGCATGCTAATCGATGTCTTCGGGATCATTAGAAAATCACAGGTAGGTGAGTTTGATCAGGGTTGGAGCTAAACTCTGCAGCGCATTGGCCCTCCAGGGGCCCTGATTTGAGGAACCCTGCGCTAGATGGACATCTTTGACCATTGCGCCTCGCAGCTTTTTGTCGCGCTTCTCCATTCATCAGGGCTGCGACTCTGCAATTGGATACTATTGTGCACGTCTCGTGTTTAGAAGAGCAAAACATTCTGATTGGCTAGTATACTAGTTTGGTTGAGAGTGAAAGCTGTGCTCCTCTCATACCATTGGTAGGTGAACTCATGGACTCAAAATCAATCAACAAGGCTGTCTATTTGAGGTAACAGCCATTTTTAGTGGTGTCCGAAACCATAGTGGACGTTCTCGAGTGCACTCATTCAATCCCACAATGCACTGCAAAAACGAGTGTACAACTGGTGCACGCTCAACGGCTAGAGAATGCCCATAATGCACCGTGAGAGTCACGCGGCGAATGAATTCCCGCATCTCGCAAGAAGATGGCGCCCGCAGCTGAATAATCAATCCGGTCATTTTTACAAAGCGCTCATCCATGGTGTACAGCATAATGTACAACACGGGTATAAATTCATTGTAAATTGATTATTAAATTGTTTGATTAGGGTTTATACATAATTTCCGTGACAGAGTTCAAGATAAATCCTTTAATCTTACTACTGGAGCTGCTAGTTTGCTAGTTTCAAATGATTAATAAACAGCAAGCACAAACTATGCAAAAGCGCCATTCCTTCCGGTGCACTCAGTGTCCGAATTCACTATTCGTTTTCATTCACTCCTTCTAGTGAACTGAATTAGTGACCTAATGTAGGGAATAGTGAATGAGGGTATAGGGGGCGATTTCGGACACAGCCCAAGATTTATTTTTTTATGTAGGACTATTTTTATAAAATATTATATTTACATTTAGATTTAGTCATTTAGCAGACGCTAAAAAATAAAAAGAAATAAAAAGAAAACAATATATATAAAAGAATAGCGCAAGCTAGTGTTTGAGGCCCCCAAGATTTATTTTTTTATGTAGGACTATTTTTTTCCACAGCCAAACGCTGCACGCCGGAGATCCGGCATGGTGCCGGAGAACTTTAAGCCCTAATGTTTAATGACTGGAAGTGACGGGACATTTCGGGAGGTCAGCATTCTCTACTGGACACTCATTCGGCTGATGAAGGCTAGTCACATGCTTTACCATCACTAGTCACACTTATTTAGCTACTATGTGTGGATGAAATGACCTGATATAAATTTGGGTTAATAATCAAACACAAATAGATTGGTGACTTATAATTTGCTCAAAGCACCACATGCAAGACACAATCAGACACCTGTGCTCTTTCTTTATTTGCATTTAGGAAACAAAATAATTGAATATTTCATGTTATCTTTTACTTTGGCTTCAGGGATTTGACATCTGGTAATCTGAAGGTATGAACTACAGTACACCAGATTAATTGCAAAAATGGTGGTAAATGCAACCCGTTTACATCACAACTCTACCTCCCTTCTCACTAGCAGCGTCTGGCATTTCCAAATGGATTTCCATTTAATTAAGTAATATGCTTGTCATTTTATTTTCATGTGCATTAACCCCCTCAAAAATACAATACTGGAATGACAATAAGCTCCTTAAGGCTGATACAATAACAGTAATCTCTGTAAAGTTGTTTTTATAAACTGTGCCGTATGGTCACTTTCATTTTTCACACTATTCGTTTTCATTCACTCCTTCTAGTGAACTGAATTAGTGACCTAATGTAGGGAATAGTGAATGAGGGTATAGGGGGCGATTTCGGACACAGCCCAAGATTTATTTTTTTATGTAGGACTATTTTTTTCCACAGCCAAACGCTGCACGCCGGAGATCCGGCATGGTGCCGGAGAACTTTAAGCCCTAATGTTTAATGACTGGAAGTGACGGGACATTTCGGGAGGTCAGCATTCTCTACTGGACACTCATTCGGCTGATGAAGGCTAGTCACATGCTTTACCATCACTAGTCACACTTATTTAGCTACTATGTGTGGATGAAATGACCTGATATAAATTTGGGTTAATAATCAAACACAAATAGATTGGTGACTTATAATTTGCTCAAAGCACCACATGCAAGACACAATCAGACACCTGTGCTCTTTCTTTATTTGCATTTAGGAAACAAAATAATTGAATATTTCATGTTATCTTTTACTTTGGCTTCAGGGATTTGACATCTGGTAATCTGAAGGTATGAACTACAGTACACCAGATTAATTGCAAAAATGGTGGTAAATGCAACCCGTTTACATCACAACTCTACCTCCCTTCTCACTAGCAGCGTCTGGCATTTCCAAATGGATTTCCATTTAATTAAGTAATATGCTTGTCATTTTATTTTCATGTGCATTAACCCCCTCAAAAATACAATACTGGAATGACAATAAGCTCCTTAAGGCTGATACAATAACAGTAATCTCTGTAAAGTTCTTTTTATAAACTGTGCCGTATGGTCACTTTCATTTTTCAAAACACCTAAGTAATGATTATGAGCTCGCAGACATATGTTATGTCTAATGGGACCGAATCAGAACAGAAAAACAGCTTAAATATTAAGCCAAGCAGAAGTAATTCGAAAAAAAAAGAAACCTCAGGCCTAGTTCCTTATGGCATATAAATTATTATGAATCATCTGTGATGCTTTTTATTGTTTATATTTATTATATATTTATCTTTTTATTATTTGTGCTGACAAATAATCACAAAAATTCAATTAAAAAATAATTATAATAATAAAAATCATCTGAAAGTATAAAAAAAAACTAGAGGCTGGTTCCTTCTAGCATATATA